TTCACAATCTGATAACATTGTCGAGTACATTACGTCGAGGCCTCAACACTCGGCTTCTTGTGGGGCTGAAGCTCATCGTAAAAGGCAAGTTATGCCTTCTGACGCCAAATGATTTTATAGCTGAGTAAAAGACAATGACGGCCACCGGTATCAAGACACACCCAGTCTACTATATAACTTTCTGTACGGGCGTCGGGGTTGCGGGCTGGTTGCTTGAGTGAAGGGAGTAAACGTGCTTCCTTGGCAGTCATTCCATCGCTCCCGTCCTTTAGTGATGCTAGGAGCCGGGATACATGAGTGCGGTGGCGTAAATATAACGGCTACTACCACCACCACGACCACCACCACTACCACTAAGATCTTCGTGGGTATTCAGGTATCACACATACGTATACCAGATAGCTTTGTGGGATATTCAGGCATCAAACAGACGTATACCAGATAGCTGTGTCGGGTATTCAGGCATTAAACAGTCGTATACCACATAGCTTGTTGAGGTATTCAGGCATCACACAGTCGTATACCAGATAGCTTTGTGGGGTATTCAGGCATCAAACAGTCGTATACCAGATAGCTTTGTGGGGTATTCAGGCATCAAACAGTCGTATACCAGATAGCTTTGTGGGGTATTCAGGCATCAAACAGTCGTATACCAGATAGATTTGTGGGGTATTCAGGCATCAAACAGTCGTATACCAGATAGCTTTGTGGGGTATTCAGGCATCAAACAGTCGTATACCAGATAGCTTTGTGGGGTATTAAGGCATCACACAGACGTATACCAGATAGCTTTCTGGGGTATTCAGGCATCACACATACGTATACCAGATATCTGTGTGGGGTATTCAGGCGTCACACATACGTATACCAGATATCTTTGTGGGGTATTCAGGTGTCACACATACGTATAGCAGATAGCTTTGTGGGGTATGTAGGCATCACACAGTCGGATACCAGATAGCTTTGTGGGGTATTCAGGCATCAACCAGTCGTATACCAGATAGCATTGTGGGGTATTCAGGCATCAACCAGTCGTATACCAGATAGCTTTGTGGGTATTCAGGCATCAAACATACGTATACCAGATAGCTTTGTGGGTATTCAGGCATCAGACAGACGTATACCAGATAGCTTTGTGGGGTATTCAGGCATCAAACAGTACGTATACCAGATAGCTTTGTGGGTATTCAGGCATCAAACAGTCGTATACCAGATAGCTTTGTGGGGTATTCAGGCATCAAACAGTCGTATACCAGATAGCTTTGTGGGGTATTCAGGCATCAAACAGTCGTATACCAGATAGCTTTGTGGGGTATTCAGGCATCAAACAGTCGTATACCAGATAGCTTTGTGGGGTATTCAGGCATCAAACAGTCGTATACCAGATAGCTTTGTGGGGTATTCAGGCATCACAAATACGTATACCAGATAGCTTTGTGGGGTATTCAGGCATCACACATACGTATACCAGATATCTTTGTGGGGTATTCAGGCGTCACACATACGTATACCAGATATCTGTGTTGGGTATTCAGGCGTCACACATACGTATACCAGATAGCTTTGTGGGGTATTCAGGCATCACACATACGTATACCAGATAGCTTTGTGGGGTATTCAGGCATCACACATACGTATACCAGATATCTGTGTGGGGTATTCAGGCGTCACACATACGTATACCAGATATCTGTGTTGGGTATTCAGGCGTCACACATACGTATACCAGATAGCTTTGTGGGGTATTCAGGCATCACACAGTCGTATACCAGATAGCTTTGTGGGGTATTCAGGCATCAAACATACGTATACCAGATAGCTTTGTGGGGTATTCAGGCATCAAACAGTCGTATACCAGATAGCTTTGTGGGGTATTCAGGCATCAAACAGTCGTATACCAGATAGCTTTGTGGGGTATTCAGGCATCACACATACGTATACCAGATAGCTTTGTGGGGGTATTCAGGCATCAAACATACGTATACCAGATAGCATTGTGGGGTATTCAGGCATCACACAGTACGTATACCAGATAGCTTTGTGGGGTATTCAGGCATCACACATACGTATACCAGATAGCTTTGTGGGGTATTCAGGCATCAAACAGTCGTATACCAGATAGCTTTGTGGGGTATTCAGGCATCACAAATACGTATACCAGATAGCTTTTTGAGGTATTCAGGCATCACAAATACGTATACCAGATATCTGTGTGGGGTATTCAGGCGTCACACATACGTATACCAGATAGCTTTGTGGGGTATTCAGGCATCAAACATACGTATACCAGATAGCTTTGTGGGGTATTCAGGCATCACACATACGTATACCAGATATCTGTGTGGGTATTCAGGCATCACACATACGTATACCAGATAGCTTTGTGGGGTATTCAGGCATCAAACATACGTATACCAGATAGCTTTGTGGGTATTCAGGCATCAAACAGTCGTATACCAGATAGCTTTGTGGGGTATTCAGGCATCACACATACGTATACCAGATAGCTTTGTGGGGTATTCAGGCATCACACATACGTATACCAGATAGCTTTGTGAGGTATTCAGGCATCAAACAGTTGTATACCAGATAGCTTTGTGGGGTATTCAGGCATCACACAGACGTATACCAGATAGCTTTGTGGGGGCATATTCCAGGCTTTTGAGGTATTCAGGCATCACAAATACGTATACCAGAGATTGTTTGTTTGTTGTTTTGGGGTGGTGGTATCCAGATGTACTTAGGCTCAGTATTATACCAGATAACTTCAGCTAACGTTTAATGGGGATAAATATACGACTGATAGTTCCGAAACTTTAGAGTAAAGAAATATTAACGAAATACCATTTAGATGTACAAATAGCACTCATTTAAGGTGGCTCCAGTACCGGATTATACATAAAATCTTTCCTGTTGTCAAATAGTCTGCAGTGTGTACTAAATGTAAAGAGTTATATTGTGATATCAGCCACCTATTTTGGTATTGTAAATATGTCAACTCCCTTATGGACTGATATTAAAATTGGATATACAATGTTGCAGAAATTAGACTAGCTTTCAATAAAAACAAAATGTTATTAGGTTTTTCCCGCTAAAATGATGAAACGTTATAAAAAACTTATGTTTAAATCATTTTCCAAACAAAGACTATTGACTCTTGAAGTTGTCCAGCAAGAGTTGCCGAACTACTCTTTACCAGTACTAGCAACTTTGTGATATACATTGTGTTACAGCAATTGTATCTCACCTTTATTTTATAGTCATTGATGTGTAATGAGTCTATGTATCATGTATGATATGTTGTACGGGAAAACAGTGAAAAGATAATCAAACATATACCAGAATAGCTTTGTGGTGAATTCAGGCATCAAACACACGTAACACGGGCAGCTTTGTGGTGAATTCAGGCATCAAACACACATAACACGGGCAGCTTTGTGGTGAATTCAGGCATCAAACACACGCAACACGGGCAGCTTTGTGGTGAATTCAGGCATCAAACACACGTAACACGGGCAGCTTTGTGGTGAATTCAGGCATCAAACACACGTAACACGGGCAGCTTTGTGGTGAATTCAGGCATCAAACACACGTAACACGGGCAGCTTTGTGGTGAATTCAGGCATCAAACACACGTAACACGGGCAGCTTTGTGGGTGAATTCGGCATCAAACACACGTAACACGGGCAGCTTTGTGGTGAATTCAGGCATCAAACACACGTAACACGGGCAGCTTTGTGGTGAATTCAGGCATCAAACACACGTAACACGGGCAGCTTTGTGGTGAATTCTGGCATCAAACACACGTAACACGGGCAGCTTTGTGGTGAATTCTGGCATCAAACACACGTAACACGGGCAGCTTTGTGGTGAATTCAGGCATCGCAAACACACGTAACACGGGCAGCTTTGTGGTGAATTCAGGCATCAAACACACGTGACACGGGCAGCTTTGTGGTGAATTCAGGCATCAAACACACGTAACACGGGCAGCTTTGTGGTGAATTCAGGCATCAAACACACGTAACACGGGCAGCTTTGTGGTGAATTCTGGCATCAAACACACGTAACACGGGCAGCTTTGTGGTGAATTCAGGCATCAAACACACGTAACACGGGCAGCTTTGTGGTGAATTCTGGGATCAACACATTCATAAATACACCGGATTTTCGAGACATGTTTTCAGGATGACGTGCGTGGCTTTGACAAACATTCATATGCATACTCTGTCTGGTGAGCATAAACGTGATGTTAATGAATATATTTGAGGTAGAATGCTTGGGCTCCTGTAGATGACTACATCTGAGGTAGAATGCTTGGGATCCTGTAGATGACTATATCTGAGGTAGAATGCATGGGCTCCTGTAGATGACTATATCTGAGGTAGAATGCTTGGGATCCTGTAGATGACTATATCTGAGGTAGACTGCATGGGATCCTGTAGATGACTATATCTGAGGTAGAATGCTTGGGATCCTGTAGATGACTATATCTGAGGTAGACTGCATGGGATCCTGTAGATGACTATGTCTGAGGTAGAATGATTGGGCTCATCTTGAAGACTATATCTGAGGTAGAATGCTTGGGATCCTGTAGATAACTATATCTGAGGTAGAATGCTTGGGATCCTGTAGATGACTATATCTGAGGTAGAATGCTTGGGATCATGTAGATGACTATATCTGAGGTAGAATGCTTGGGATCCTGTAGATAACTATATCTGAGGTAGCATGCTTGGGATCATGTAGATGACTATATCTGAGGTAGAATACATGGGCTCATGTAGATGGGGACAGAGAGCTGACAAAGAGACAGTGGTAGGATGTGCCCTTCAGTTGTGTGAAGGGTTTATCTGGGGTGTACAGATTGGTTGGTTGCGCTACAATGTTCCGATAAGTTGGTTGATTCACAGAACGTAATACGATTAAAAAGCTTTTTTTATTATTATATTTATTATCCAGTTCCAAGACGCTGCTTATTTTCACTGGTTTGTTTCAGCTCCTCCTGCTCATGAGCGGCGTCGTGAACGCTCTGTATTCCGCGGCGTGGCCTTCCCGCTCCCACACACCAGTCCCGACAGACGCAGTGGCGGGCGAGGTCGCCTCCCACACGGTGTGTTCGGCAACGACGGCTTGGGCAAGTGAGATTGGATGCGTTCCTACACACTTGAGCGTAATCCAAGAACATGCTGTCCGTGCTCCGGTGGCTTCAAGCTCTTCCCGTCATGCGTTCTTATTACTCGGATAAATTCAATGTAACACCCTAAAGTGTAGAAATAACGTTGTAAAGCCGCCATTATCATGTCATACAAACAGTAGCAATAAAGCTATCAGTGGGAATCTGTGTTCGTCATTCATGTATAAAGTGGAGCTTAGATTCAATCTCATGTCAAGTCTAGGTCCCGACTGAAACAATTTGCAACTTCTCCGAAGCTTAGCTAACACATAAATACTTCTGTCGGGAAGTTAACCTATCAAATTCAACTAACTGTACCGTTTTAATTTTACAGTTTTAATTTGAAGAGGAATCGTAAGAATACAGCTCAGAACTCAGTACAAGAATGTTCTCTCTCTGACGTTAATGCACTGCCCAGATTGACTGGATGTGTCTGATATAGATGTCTGTATGGTCAACTAGGGGTGTCTGATATACATGTATGTATGGTAAACAGGAGGTGTCTGATATACATGTCTGTATGGTTGACTGGAGGTGTCTGATATAGATGTCTGTATGGTTGACGAGAGGTGTCTAATATAGATGTCTGTATGGTCGACTGGAGGTGTCTGATATAGATGTCTGTATGGCTGACTGGAGGTGTCTGATATAGATGTCTGTATGGTCAAATGGGGTGTCTGATATACATGTCTGTATGGTCGACTGGAGGTGTCTGATATAGATGTCTGTATGGTTGACGAGAGGTGTCTAAAATAGATGTCTGTATGGTGGACTGGAGGTGTCTGATATAGATGTCTGTATGGCTGACTGGAGGTGTCTGATATAGATATCTTCACGGCTGACTGGTGGTGTCTGATATAGATGTCTGTATGGTTGACTGGATGTGTCTGATGTAGATGTCTGTATGGTTCACTGGATGTGTCTGATATAGATGTCTGTATGGTTGACTGGAGGTGTCTGACATAGATGTCTGTATGGTTGACTGGAGGTGTCTGGTATAGATGTCTGTATGGTTGGCAGGTTGTGTCTGATACAGATGCCTGTATGGTTGACTGGAGGTGTCTGATATAGATGTCTGTATGGTTGACTGGAGGTGTCTGATATAGATGTCTGTATGGTCGACTGGAGGTGTCTGATATAGATGTCTGTATGGTTGACTGGAGGTGTCTGATATAGATGCCTGTATGGTCAACTGGATGTGTCTGATATAGATGTCTGTATGGTTGACTGGAGGTGTCTGATATAGATGTCTGTATGGTCAACTGGAGGTGTCTGATATAGATGTCTGTATGGTTGACTGAAGGTGTCTGATATAGATGCCTGTATGGTTGACTGGTGGTGTCTGATATAGATGTCTGTATAGTCAACTGGAGGTGTCTGATATAGATGTCTGTATTGTTGACTGGAGGTGTCTGATATAGATGTCTGTATGGTTGACTGGAGGTGTCTGATATAGATGTCTGTATGGTCGACTGGAGGTGTCTGATATAGATGTCTGTATGGTCAACTGGAGGTGTCTGATATAGATGTCTGTATGGTTGACTGGAGGTGTCTGATATAGATGTCTGTATGGTCAACTGGATGTGTCTGATATAGATGTCTGTATGGTTGACTGAAGGTGTCTGATATAGATGCCTGTATGGTTGACTGGTGGTGTCTGATATAGATGTCTGTATAGTCAACTGGAGGTGTCTGATATAGATGTCTGTATGGTTGACTGGAGGTGTCTGATATAGATGTCTGTATGGTTGACTGGAGGTGTCTGATATGGATGTCTGTATTGTTGACTGGTGGTGTCTGATATAGATGCCTGTATGGTTGACTGGTGGTGTCTGATATAGATGTCTGTATAGTCAACTGGAGGTGTCTGATATAGATGTCTGTAAGGTTGACTGGAGGTGTCTGATATAGATGTCTGTATGGTTGACTGGAGGTGTCTGATATAGATGTCTGTATGGTTGACTGGAGGTGTCTGATATAGATGTCTGTATGGTCAACTGGAGTAGTCTGATATAGATGTCTGTATGGTTGACTGGAGGTGTCTGATATAGATGCCTGTATGGTCAACTGGATGTGTCTGATATAGATGTCTGTATGGTTGACTGGAGGTGTCTGATATAGATGTCTGTATGGTCAACTGGATGTGTCTGATATAGATGTCTGTATGGTTGACTGAAGGTGTCTGATATAGATGCCTGTATGGTTGACTGGTGGTGTCTGATATAGATGTCTGTATGGTTGACTGAAGGTGTCTGATATAGATGTCTGTATGGTTGACTGGAGGTGTCTGATATAGATGTCTGTATTGTTGACTGGTGGTGTCTGATATAGACGCCTGTATGGTTGACTGGAGGTGTCTGATATAGATGTCTGTATAGTCAACTGGAGGTGTCTGATATAGATGTCTGTATGGTTGACTGGAGGTGTCTGATATAGATGTCTGTATGGTTGACTGGAGGTGTCTGATATAGATGTCTGTATAGTCAACTGGAGGTGTCTGATATAGATGTCTGTATGGTCGACTGGAGGTGTCTGATATAGATGTCTGTATGGTCGACTGGAGGTGTCTGTGATTGCCTGTATGTCCGTCCGACGGTGTCGGAGATACAAATCTGAATGGCCCGGTTGAGATGTTTGTTAGAGGTCTGTAGGACCAGCTTGGGTTGTCTGAGATAAAGACGTCTGGACTCCTGCGTGTGTAAGTAACTCTCTATGGGGCTGTGTGAAACAATAAACTGCACTTACTGAATATGGTTAAAAGGCCACCTTTTTCTCCACATGGAACTAGCAAGGTTCTGTGACGGCGTAGCGTGTCCTTGCAAGGGGAGGGTTGCATGTACGTGTGCTGGATCAGCATCGGCTCGCTACACGCTAACAAGCTTTACACCATACCATGGGCAGTTCACACACCAATTAGAAAATCTGACAGTAAACAGCACGTCTAGGGTCACGTGACATAGGTAAGTCTCCCGTCGCCGCTACACTGGATTTGCAAACACAAGGGACCGTCTCAGTTTGTTTCATTAGTATTACCCGTCATCGTGCATCTATTTATTCCTCGACATGCCATGTTGCCAGTTGTCCAGTCACATTTCTCGCTTTCTGGTCCAAAATTACTTCTTGTATGCTGCTGCAATGCAGTTATCTAGCTGTTCCTCTGGTGATGTATTCTCTGAATCAGAATTGATGGCGTGTCGAATGTGGCTGAGGCTCACTATGATCTCATTATCATCATTGATATTGTAAATATGCTATCCTTTTTGAGACAGTCCCTGAATCACAATGGCTTCCATGAAATATATCACTTCAGTAACAAGTTATTTTGTTCTGAAACAAACAAGGCTAAGCCTGGGCGCGACTTTGTGTGAGAGAGTATATATATATAGACGACAACGTGCCCGTCATCACACCCCAACATGGACGTCACAACGTTGTTTAGCGTCGTGGTTGCTGCAGCGTCTCTCAACTGGGCCATGCTATAGTCACTGTACAGCTGGACGAGGTCGCCATCCAGAACGGTTACCCCGACTGTCGTCTCATGCCGAGATCTAACGCTACTAACCTGCAGAATGTCTGGATGTTCCAAGGGGAAAGTCTCGTCCTGAACTTTTGCCTCGATAACCCAGCCGTTGTAAGCCTGGACGACTTCATCTACTCAAATGATGGGTGGCAAGACGATGTGCTCGTCTCCATTGACAACGAGCCTCTGGGTGAGGTGAAGACCCACGACACCTCCTTTGAGGGTGAACTGTGGAACACATTCTCGGGCACTGGACCCCTAGGGGAGCAGGTAACCCTGGAGGAGGGGTTGCACACCCTGAAAGTGTCCGTCACACAGGCAGATAAGTGGGGCGTTGAACTCGACGCCCTGGTTTTGAGGGTGCAGCAAGACGTGGACAGCGACATTGACAACATGCAATGTGATGGCGACTACCCCACGCCGGCCGCTCCAGACTACCCTTGTGCCCCAGAGGATGACGCCCCCATCAAAAGTAAGTCCAGGATAGCACTAACCCTATACTAGTCAAACAGTTCCCCTCACCCTCGGTGACTTCGCGCTTACATAAACGTCGCTATAATACAGAAGTTGTACATCGACAGAACCTACCGACATCAATTTTTATCTGCCACTCAAAGAGGACCTAGTCTTCAGACTGTGTTTATCATGTAAACAAAAGACTTGTGGCAGTCCAAGCATCAAGGTTTAACAAGATCACTTACATTTGGCTACAACAGCCATATACATCTTCATTATTTTTGGATTCCGGGTACAAACCCGAAACGAAGAACGTCCCCAGTTGAAGAATACCCTCAGTTCAGTAGTATTTCCCTGTTCATTTATGCAACTGAGTTCCTCAATACCCCAGAGTTGAGTAATACCCGGAGCCGAGGAACACCCTTAGTTGAAGAATACCCCCAGTTGAAGAATACCCCTAGTTGAGGAACACACCCCAGTTGAGGAACACACCATAGTTGAAAAATACCACTAGTTGAGAAATACCCCTAGTTGAGGAATACCCCTAGTTCAGGAATACCCCTAGTTCAGGAATACCCCTAGTTGAAGAATACCCCTAGTTGAGGAATACCCTCAGTTGAGGAATACCCCTAACTGAGGAATACCCCTTGTTGAGGAATACCCCTATTTGAGGAATACCCTTTGTTGAGGAATACCCCTAGTTGAGGAACGCTCCCTAGTTCAGGAACACACTCCAGTTCAGGAACACACCCTAGTAGACCCCCCCCCCTAGTTGAGGAATACTCATATTTAAGGAATACCCCTAGTTGAGGAACACTCATTAGTTGAGGAACACAATCCAGTTGAGGAACCCTCCCTAGCTGAAGAATACCCCTAGGAATCGAGGAACACTCCATAGTTCAGGAACATACTCCAGTTGGAGAAAAGACACTAGTTGAGGAATACCCCTAGTAGAGGAACACACACTAGTTGACGAATGCCCCTAGTTGAGGAACACACCCTAATTGAGGAACACTCCCTAGTTGAGGAACACACGTTAGTTGAGGAATACCCCTAGTTGAGGAACACTCTCTAGTTGAGGAACACACAATAGTTGAGGAATACCCCTAGTTGAGGACTACCCCCAGTTGAGGAACACACCCTAGTTGAGGAACATCCACTAGTTGGGGAATACCCCTAGTTGAGGAA